TGACCACCATAGTGCTGCTGGGCCTCCTGGGCGATCGGCGGGCCCTGGAGGCGAGTGGCCCTGCGGACAGACAGGGTAGGGGATGAAGGGCGGAGTGGGGGCGGGGAGCGGGGGCAGGGCCAGTTTTTGGGCACTCGGTCTCTAAAAGGTTCGCCATCACTGCCCTATGGTAATATCTTGCATAATATAAGGTAATGTGTGAAATATCATTTTTTAAAATTTATATAATTCTGCTATGTTTACAGGCTGGTACAGGGGAGAAAAGAGAGCCATGAAGTTTGCTATCCCAAGAATTTGGCAGGAACTGACTGACCACTCAAGCAACTGCTACTTCTGCATGGTGGACCCTCCCAGACATTGAACTGGCAAGAGCATGCCTATCATGTATTCAGACATTCTTTCATCCGTCGCCCAGTATCACACTGCCCAGAGCTCCCTTTTCCTACCCCTCCGGAGAGGGATCAGCTATCTTTAGCAGTGAGAATCAAGTCAGACAGTGAGGAAGATTACAATTTTACAGATGCCGCTAAGGAAAGAAAGCCATACTTCCCCAATCAAAACGATCTCGTTACCAAGTCCCAAGCTGTTGGATGAAAGTGTGCAAGTCACAGATCAGAGAAGGCATATAATTTAATAATGGATCACATGAGGATCATGTGTATGTCATTCATTCATTCTTGTTATCCCATCCATAGCATGATCTTAATCTTCTAAGATTTTTACAGTGCTCCTCTTAAGATAAAATAGGCAATCTGATGCCTGCCCTCCAGGCGCTTGGAGTTTAGTTTCCATTTCCTCCAACCAGTCATGTTCTGTGATTAATGACACACCAATGCTTCACAAAAATGTAAATTGGAACTATGATTCCACATGCTCACGTGCACCACCAATCCTTTTTCTTTTTTTATTTGACAAAGAAAAGATGGCCAAAATTGATTCAAGATAAATTAATAATTAGGATAATGAAGTACAACATGACCCATTATCAAAATTAAGTTTAAAATACCTCTAAAATATACAGCTACTTTCCACATGACTGGAATTATTAAATTATCAAATACCGTACTAGAATATTTAAATTTTAATTCAATGGAGACTAACCATTTTAAGTCATTGAAGTGTAATAAGTAGCCATGAATGAATAAATATAATACAAGTATCAATTATTGTAACTTAATCTTGTAAAATGACAAGTTGCTTTCCAATTGTCTCCTGAGACTCTAAAGAGGAAACAAAACTACTCTTGACAAATAGCAACGATGATTGAGCAGAATTTGGCCACTGCCTCGAAGTCATTTCTGAAGTATCTTTCAAAAAGGGGGAAGGGAAGTTAAGATTGGTAGCTGCTTTGCTATTGGTTGTTAACAGTTTTTATGAAAATTTGAATAAAAGGAGCAACTAAGAAGGGTGTGTGTTACTGATTTATTTTCCTGCAAAGGATATGGAGATAGATGATGTACTGTTGAGTCTCCCTCATCAAAGAGTTGAAAGTAATGCACTGAATCTCACTAATGTAAAGATTCTTTTGTGTGTTGGCTGTAAAACTGTAAGGCATTTAATCGTAGTGAATGGTCTCCCTAGCATGCCCGAATAACAGTTTTTTGTAGTAAAGCTTAGGTCTTTTTGTAAGTCTGGATCAAAAATTGGGGTTTTTTTCATCTGATTTTTTTTTTCATAGCCAAATGAAACCTGATATTTCATGGAAAGTCTGCAGAGTCTTAGATTAAACTTCAATTAGCCAAGAGGAAACCAACTTACTTTGCTGGGTCATAGCAGCAGCAAGACATTCATTGAAAATGAATTTGAGCCATTATTTTAGACAACATAGTTATAATTGCACTCTAATTAGGTTTGGCTTAATTCAATTCTTCACACTGTAAAGCTGTGGGCACACAAAGTATAGGCCATAGAAAGTTGACTGGATCCACATTATGATAATTGCTGATGTATGTACCATAGAGCAAATAGCTTACTATCTTGTTAGAAGATCTTGGTAGTGGCCACTATTACAGGTAGAAAATCAAAGGAAGGCACTTTTCACAAACTGACTTGCATGGGCGCAGTTTTAATGTGATTGGTCAAGATGTTGAGACTTGGACAGTGCTTGATTCAGTCCTGAGAGAAATTGAGAGAACTTGGGTGTCTCTATTGACTGGTATTCCAATCTCTGGCCTTAGTACAAATGATTTAAGGAAGTCAGAGTATACTGACAGTATAAAAGCATGCTGAGGGAAAAATTTGAAAAGTCCCCATGAACTATTTTCTTTACAAGTGTAGTTATGGAACCTGCTCCGAAGTCCATAAGCATGTTTTGATTTTTTTTTTATGGGAACCAGACTATACTGGTGTTTGGCAACCAGGCTGTATTTATGGCACTTTGCATCATCCTGTGGTCACACGATTATGTTTTACAAAAGTTTTGCTGAAAACTGACATTTACTTCCAGTTTTCAGCAAAACCAGCCCATAGCGAACCATTGGTTGATTTAGCAACCACAACATTTCCTTAATAACAGCTGCAAAAAAGGTAAGATCAAGTTGGTCATGTGGTAACCAATTTATGACTGTTGTGAGTTATGACTATGATGAGCCAGCTCCATTATGATCCTAGCTCATTCTATAACTAAATGTATATTTTACGCTTGATTGGTGATTTGCCATGAAGTCATTATTGACTCTTGCGACCATGTAAATTTTCTCCATGATAATCTGTCCCTAATTTGGTACTTCAGCTCTCCAGCATGCTCATTGTTACTGTAATTGAGTCTATCCATCTTGCTGCTGATAGTTCTTTTTCCTTCCACCTTTCCTATCGTTTTCGAGACATCTCCAGAGAGGTCAGTCTTCTCATAAGTCTTTGAAGTAAGCTAATTTGAGTCTAATTTGTGTCTTGAGTGAGAACTCTGACTGGATATGTTTGATGTTCCATTTGTTTTTTTCTTGGCTTCCCAAGTTAAATCTTCAGGCAACAGTTAGATTCCATATTCCTTTAGGTTAGTGGATGCTAGCCTTGCTGGTAACTTGTGGAGCTTTGAATTTATAGTAGGCAATGCCCCCATTATGACAAGTAATAAGGCATTATAATGACTGCTACCATTCAAAAATGAATCCAACAACTTGTTCAGTAAGGAACGGCTTTAATTATTAGCCTAAAACTATACATCTCAAGATTTGATATTGATGTACATGACGGAATAATTAAATAATTGGCTATTATTTAGTCTTGTTGCTCTTCTCCATTCATATTGACATAATGCCTCATGTTAATTAGAAACCATACCTATATTCATATTATGAAACTGCTCTCAGTTAATCAGTTGTATGCTATAGTTTGCATACTCATTTTCAAGACTGATTTCAGATACAACAATACAGTTTTTATAAATATATGAATTAGCACATAATTATGTGAACCCAAGCAAGGCAATGTCCTTTGTTACTAGTGACTTGTTTTGGTCAGTTTTTAAATAATGGCTTGACTGTGTTGTAGATTGATTGTAGAATTTACAGATTGATCTAATAAGGCAGTGATTGAATACTGAGGACATCTGAAATTGGCTGCTATGGGATGGCATCAGACTTTTACATTTGATGGGCATGTATTTAATTATCGGTTACACTACCTTGCTACGGCGAGACTGATATTTCTTGGTACCAGGTACCTATACACAGAAAAGTAAGACAGCCTAATGATGGAGTTACGTCTTACACAAGGGCTATATCAATATTGGTATGGAATGCCAAAAAAAATATAGTGATGGTGCTCCTATAGAAATGTAAGATTTTTTAATATTTACACTTCTCTTTGTTAATGTACAAGGTGGTGAACAAACCTAATACTCCTTCCTCTTCCTCCCATTTTTCCCACATCAATAACCCCGAGTTGGACTGAGAGTGACTGGCCCAAAGTCACCCAGGCTTTCATGGTCTCCAGATTTCTAGTCTGGTGTCTTAACCAATTATAATTATTTGGAGACAGAACGCCAACAATTTAAACAGTTTATTGATACAAAGTGTACATTATTCTTTAAGGCCATTGTCCTCCCACAGCTCATCAGGCATTAATATTTGGAATTTGTACTTAACTAAGATATTTTTTCTTGCAGTTTGAGAAACTTCTTTTTTGTTTTCAGATAACATTAAAAAAAACCCCCACTAATCATGGATTTCATTAATCCATAAGAAAAACTGACTTACACATCCCTCAAAATTGCATAGCATTTTTCTAGTCTGTTATATATAATTGAAGTTTTATCTACCATTAGAATAATTTTACAATTCCTTGCCATTTTAAACATTTCTTTTTTAACAGTAGTTTGAATAATAAACTACTTATACCACTAACCATTACTAATGGAGCTATTATTATAAGAGTATCTCATTTGTAAATTTGTTCATTTATTTTAGACAGCAATTGTGCTGCACTTTATCATTTCTATATTGGAAATAAAATATGCTAGCAGAATGGTACTATATCCTCTCACTCTTTTAGTTGACCTTTGACCACTTGCTTCCATTGATAGAAATATAGTGTAGAATTGACATCTACCCATCCATCCACCCACCACCCACACATACACACTCACACAATTATCAGTTAAACTCCGAGGGACCGTATGTAGTTCTTATGAGTATCTATACATGTACAAACATTTATCTTACTACACACCAGGCTCCTTGCCTCCTCTTTAATTTTTATAGATTTAAAATACTGGAATCATTTTGCAAAGGGGTAAGCCTTTCTCCCATGATAGTCTTTCTTCCATTATCATTACGTAACAAAACAACCGTGACATATTGTGAATGCATAATCCCAAATGTAACTAATGTAAAAGAGTTACGAACCTCTACTTTAATTCCTTTTTTATTTGTAAACAACCCCTCTAGTGTAACTAAGTTCCGGAAAAAATATAAAATTCCTAAGTCTAATTACGCAATTATATTTTCTATGAGCTTTAAGTTTCAGAAGAACCATAGATGGATATGGGTCAGAGGGAGATGCACGGTAGATGTTATTTTATTGTGATATACACTTTATAAGCATTTAGGACAGACTGGTCTACAATGTGTTAAAAAAATAAAAAGAGTTCCACCTACAAGGCAGCTCAGCTGTTCCAGACATCTGCATGGAGGGTGACAAAAGTGCCAGTATGACTTCCATGATTACAATCATAATTTCTCAGCAGCAATTTCCATGAGGATTTCAATGATGTACTACCATTATTCAAGCAAATGTATACAAACCGCTTTCACAGAGCCTATCGCTATCTTATGTTCTGGGAATATATTTAAATATTTCAACATTCCAAAATAGTCTGGGTATGATCTCTATGGGTGTGACTACGGCCCTGTGAGTTCATAAAGAATTGCCCAACGGCCAGTGAAGCTCTTCCGCATCAAAAGCAATTACCTGGACCGAAGCTTAGAAGTTATTTCAAGTTTTATATTCAATGAAGAGTAGAGAGAGTTCCACTGGGCTTTATGGCCATTTCTGCTTACACACCTGAACAATTCATGCCTAATATTTATTGCACATTAACATTCTTCATTTAATGGTTAATACAATTAGCATGTATTCTAACAATGGAATTTCAAGACTGGACAGAGCCACTTGAGTTAAATAAGTTTTCCAGATTTTTTTTTTTAAAGCTCTATATTATAGTACATAATATACACATTAATATACTACCGTGGCTCCAAAAGGAACTCTTAATACTTTTTATAGAGTTATATGACTACTTTTAAAAATACAGTTTAAAAATATTTTCAAATTAAGATATTAAGCAATGAAATGTACGGTCCATAAATTGTAAGAATGTTCTTATCAAGTAAAGAAATTGTTCTCTGAACAAATAAACACATATTCGTTATCAGTTATGGCAATGTACAATGACATTCATCTAATGTAGAACAAGTACCAGATACTGTAGCTATGCTGCTTCTAATTGGTGAGGGGTCTCATTTTAACAACAGCATGGTGCAACAATATAATTTGTGGCATTCATACACACAAAGCTTCCAAATGAAAATATCAAATTCTTCCTCTTGGCGAATTCACCGACAATTATAATGAGACATTTACATCAGTACATTTTACAACATCAATTTCAGTGAATTAATTATTTTCTATATAAAATATTATAAATCTACAAACAATGATTCAGTGATACTTCATTGGTTTTGAACAAGAATACTTACCAGAAACATCATCATCAAACCTTCTGCCCAAAACAAATCTTCCTCGAGATATATTATACGGTACTTTGATTCCATAAATTTCCAGCCAGCCTGGTGAATTTATTGTTTGGTAGGTTATAAAATCCAAACTCCCAACACACCCAGAGGACATCAGTATGGAAAAAACTACCGTAGGACAAAATTTTACATCTCTTTGATTTCTAATTTGTTTGTGTGTATGTGTACGTGTGTGTGTGTGTATATATACAGATCTGCATTCATATAAAATTAGAAAAGATGAAATAACTTGCAAAAGAGGTATGATTTAACAGATGTTGCCAGGTGCTCTTGCAAGAAGAATGCATAGGACATTTCTGCAGCTGTTGAAAATAGTACATCATTCTGATTTAACCTCAGAGTTCAAGTTGGAAGCACTTCTAGTTCCAGGTTCTAGAAGCAACACATTCAAGTTTTGCTCTGGACTTCCCTTCTTTTACAGAAGTTGTTTTACAAATTTAATTATTAAACATCATTCTTCTGACACAGTACAAACTCTTTCAGTGCCTGATAAATCCTCCAATAGTATTTAGAAGTCCTTTTTCCACAATATTGGCAAAATACTGTGAGATGGAAAAGTCTGTTATGCTTTAATAGGATTTCCTGTTGGCTTTGGATCATAACTATATAAGAAAGTAGCAACTATTACCAGAACAGCTCCAAGAAAAAACACACTAAAGATAAAAAGAAAGAATAAATATTTAGAATACATGTTTTGATGTTTTGTACATTCATAAAACGGGTATTGTTCTCTCTCTCTCTCTCTCTCTCTCTCTCTCATATCTTTCTCTCTCTCTCATATCTATCTCATTTATACAGCTGCCCATCTTGCATAATGACTCTGGGTGACATACACAATAAAAAAATCTATAAAATTCATAAGAGGCAGTTGGTCAATTACTGCAGATAAAATCAATTAAAACTACAACTGGAATGAATTAAAAAGGTAACAATAAAATGGTGAACAAAAATACAGAGAGAGCATTTAGTCAAGCATCATGTAACCATCTACCACACTATGCTCTGTTATAAGCCCCCAGGCCAGTTGACAAAACCATGTTTTGAGGTCTTCCAGAAGGCCAGCGGGTTTGAACCTAACCGCGCCTCTTCTGGATCCCACCAAAAGCTGTTTTTACTTCCCAGGTGAATACCATAGTTATAAAGTGAAGCAATTATACCCAATGAGCGTTTGTTCATCGGAAACCAGAAGTAAATGCTAGAAACTGCAAAAACAAACAAACATAGAAATTGATAGTCATATGACTGTGGTACACTGCAAACAGCCATAAAGATGAGCTGGTTGCCAAATGCCCAAATCCAATCACATGACCGTGTGGTGTCTGTGTGTGTCTCTGTGTGTGGGGCCATTGTAACTTCAAAATTGGGTCATAAGTGCCTTTGGGGAGGTCCTTTGTAACTTTGAACAGTTGCTAAGCAACCAGTTGTAAGTTGAAATCTATCTGTAATATATTTTTCCCTTTTACATTTTTTTTTTTAAAAGTACATTTCTAAGTTTTGCACATCGTAGCCTAGCCCCTGAAAGGATCTGCAAAGGAACAAAAATTAGAACGAAGAGAAGAAAAACGATTACATACTTTCTGAAGTTTAGATAGTTTCAGACCATCTTCAGTTCAGGCTGAAAAGAATGGCTGATACAGCTTGTATGATTCAAAATTGTGGCAGCAATAGAACTAACTTCAAAAAGCAAGTACAAGATAGTTTTTGACCTACAATCCCAGGTGGGAGGTTGCAGGGAGTTAGATAGGCAGGGGGCACTGCAGGGTGCCTGTGGCAAACAAACCGGAGAGGCAAACAACCGGAGAGATGCTGCAGTGCTTGTAACTTCAGGACCCGGTCATAAATAGCCTTTAAGGAGTCTGCTGTAACTTTGAACGATCACCGAGTGATAGGTCGTAAGTTGAGAACTATCGATAATCTCATAGGCAGAAATGGAGGAAAATATTTTATTTTTCCGTTTGAATGCAAATGTATATAGATCTTTTATTTACATATTGTTTTCAGGCAGTGAAAGAAATATATTCATCATAGCATTGATAGAATCGAAATATCCAAATTAATTTCTATTCAGCCACACTTACTTAAAAAGCTGCCTTATTCTGAAACAATTGATTGAGCCCAATATTTTGTACACAAAAGTGGGCAACCCACATATTGTATTTTTCTTTCAAGACATTTTCCAGATAACCATCCTGCCCCCCATGTTACACCATCAAAATCTGGCGGCAAAATGCAGTTACTAAAGTTTGTGGGTGAAAGTAGAAAGAAAAACATGCATATTAAACTTCTTTCCTTATATACCGTTATTTGAGTAAATCTACCTCGTTGAGCTGAACTGATTTATGTTTGAGTTGACATGTGCAATATTGCTCCACAAAGGATAGTTTCTCTGTTATGGTGCAAAATATTTAATTTATAAACTCACCAAAGCATTTAAATTCGGTTTAAATTATATTTCATTTATACTTGTACAAGGCATTTGTGTTTTTAGAGACAAACTTAAAAATACAACTTACCTTGTGGGGACAAAATCTTGAAGCCAGAAGTATGATATTAATGTTGACAATATAATCGATAACGATGTTGCAAATCCTTTTAAAATATTGTCTGCATATTTTATAACAGCGGCTATAACAAGGCCGCCAAGTGCCTGACAAAACATTGAAAATAATAAAGCAATAAAGTAATCACTTTATTAATCTTAATGGTTAAACAGATAAAGCTTGCTATGCATATTTAGCAAAGACATCCTGAAGGGAAAGTTATACTTTGTCTTTCTGAATGAATCCGGAAAGCCATGATTTTTATAAATACTATATTGCAGCTAGTCTTCACTTAATGACCCTAATTGAGATTGGGATCTCCATCACTCAGCAAAGCAGTTGCTAATTGGGGAAATCATGTCACTGCAACTGTGTTCTCCAGCTGGGACAAGACTAACTTTTGTTTGCCTCATTCTTTGCAATGCTAGAGTGCCTGATTACTGTCTTGTACACACTGATAGCAACGCAATCATGCCATAACCTGGGGCTGGGAGCCGTGGGTGTGCTATAGGTCAGGGCTTTTCAACCTTTTCACCCATTGTACCACTTTTAGGATATGGCAACATCCGAGTACCACCAGTTGCCTAGCAAGGTGTCAAAAAGTTGGCCAAAAAAAAAAGGAAAAAAGTGATAAAGTACAGGTAGTCCTCGACTTACAACAGTTCGCTTAGTGACTGTTCGAAGTTACAATGGCACTGAAAAAAGTGCCCCCCAAGCCACAGCCGAGCAAGACACCTGCCTGCCCACCCAGCGGCACTCTTCCTCCTGTCCGAGGTTTTCATTGTTGTGAGGGTGGGAGTGGGAGTGTTTGGTTTTTATTCCCCCCGTCTGCTGGGTGGTTGCAGCAGGTTTTGGTCAATTCACATGACCCTGGGACACTGTGACCGTCATAAATATGAATCAGTTGCCAAGCATCTGAATGTAAATCACAAGACCCTGGAGATGCTGCAACATTCCAGCTGATTAGCGCTTCTGGGCTCAGCAGAAGTGCCAGGATCAGCACCGAGCTCCAGCTGGAACGTGGCGCTGATCCTGGCGCTTCCACTGAGCCCTGACAGCCCTGCAGCTCCAGCCATCTCTCACTCAGGCTTGTGCGGTGCTGCCACCAGTTCAGCTCATTCCCCTCCCCCACTACTTTTCAAGGATGGTTGTGTACCACCTGCCAGGTGCCAATGTACCACAGGTGGTACCCGTACCACTGGTTGAAATGCCCTGCTATAGGTATACAGTTACTCTCTTGAAATCCCTTTGTCTCCAATCTTTCTGCTCTGCAGGGGGGAGAAGCAAGACCCTTTCCAGTCGCCAGCACAATCACTCTGCTCTCAATGTGTAGAAGGGCAAATCTCTCTGCCTTGTGGGATGGGGGCAGGCAAAGGATAGATTGCCTACAGGAATCGCTTACTTTTATTTGCCTTCCATACCCCCCTAGTAGAGAGATTGGAGAGAGATTTCAAAAGAATAACTGTTTGCTCTTTTACACACGAAAAGCAATGAAACTGTGCTGGCAGCCTGAAAATGCAGTCTTAAACGAGTCTTAAATACAATTGTAAATGAGCCCCAACGTTTATTTTTTTTTTACTACTGTTATAACTTCGAATGGTTGCTAAATAAATAGTGAGGGCTACCTGCAATGTTTAATGTAAAACAATTTCCCAATTTAAATATTTTTAATTGATTTAAATATATAATTGATTCTGGATGATTTATGCTAAGCACATCTTACTAAAGTAATTACTATATAATATTAAAATTAAGAGTATTGTATCATAAAATAAAACTAAATTTTGCAAGTTTTAAAGTCTCCATTAGGTCTACAATTCTTACTCTCTTCTTCTTCTTCTTAGGTCTACAATTCTTACTCTCTTCTTCCATACTGAGCATTTTATTCATTCTTAATTAACAATAAGAGTGTTAAACTGTCCTTATTCTTAAGTCTTATCCTCTAACTAAATGAGGGGAACTTAAACATTTCCTGTCAATTCAATTTCTGGTTATTAAAAAAGAGAAAGTCATTTTTTTCAAATAACTGGCATTCATAATTAATGGGGAGGGACAGGGGACTTACCTTGGAAGTACTTATAATAAAACAATTCATTAAAAGTTAATGTGCCTGATTAACGGGGACAATTTTTCTATTCTTTCCACCCCAGTGGAATATTGAAACTTTGTCCTTGGGATAAGCTTCCAAAAACTGAACAGAACAAGTTCAATTTTGGTATGGTGGGAGAAACTAGCAAAAAAAAAAAAAAAAGACTGGGTTTGAAAATGGAGAAAAACATTTCAGTAAAAAAAAAATATCTCAGGTATTTTAGGAGAGGCAGTTGGTCGATTACTCAGAACGCTACACTATTGACAGCTCTATTCTAAGCCCCGCCTCTGGTCACATGACTTAGAGTGGAACATGTGCAGCCTGCTCTATGCTTCCCAATGCATATATACAAACATATTAACACATGGAGACATTCACGAGGGTAAGACAAAACACAGAGGCACACAACAGATTACTTCAGTACATTAAAAAAAACCAGACAGATCCTATGACCAGTGCTGGTTAACGGGGCTGTAGAACATTCCAGAAACCAGACTCTGCATGCTCCCTTATTTAAGACCTTCTGTACCTCATTATGTGACCTAGGAACTGTTGTTAAGGAGTTGAAGAAAATTCCCCAAGCCATGTCAGTATGTTTTCCCTTGCCTTGTTGAATAGATTGATATATTTTTTTAAGTATTAGTTGAACAAATCAAGCATATGCCTCAATGGTAATTTCAGTATTGGTATATAACATAAGCCCAATTGATAAAATGTAATATTGGATGTATTACCTGAAGGACTACAACTATCCAAGTAAGCTTGTTATAACCTTGAAAAAATCCATTCTTTGATACAAGTTCTCCATCATAAATGTATACGCCCATCAATCCAAATATACTACCAAAAAATCCTGAAAGTCAAGATAAATATTGAGCCATGGTGAGTTGAACAGAAAAGATATTCCGATTGTTCTTTTATGGTACCCGTTAACAATTTGGATTATGTACTCCAATAATTCAGACGCAAGTGGAAACCTCTCCTAGTATATTTGAATATTAGTTACTATTTTGTGCAGTATATCAGAAGATATCAAAGAATGGTGATGACACCCTAACTTTTGATCGTAAAAGCTGATGATTTCAATGCAGCGCCTCATAAATGCTATTTGTTGTGTTACAAGGAGTCAGTTGAAGGCCTCTATTACACATGTAAAGGACCTAAACGGCTTGTATCAAGCATGTGTGAGAAAGAGATATACGCTTAAGTTTTGAATACTTACTTATTCAGACATGGCAATGATGATCTGCTGGACTTGGAAGCTGTTTCTTTTAAAAACTATTACAGTTCTAAAACTAGGTTTTCTATTTTACTGCAATACTTTGCATTTTTAAATGGTTATCTTAATTACTTGGGAATCAGTTTTATGCACAGCTTATCACAGCAAAAATGTGCATAAACCACTATTACTTGCAGTTGCATCTGTAAACCACTGTGGGGCAGAAAAGGGCTGCTTATAATTTTTTAAATACGGTAAGTACCTCCTCGTTTTTAAGGTCTACCGGAGAACTCTTTGATTTTGCATTTACATGAAATGAAAATTTATAGAAACTAAGTTAACCCCATCCCAAGTGTGTTAGGCTTTCTTTCGGGAAGTTCTATCAGCCCATCTTATTATTACAGGTAGTCCTCAGTTAATGACCACTTGTCCTGCGACTGTTGAAGTTACAACCAGTCCTTAAAGACCAGCCTTCTCAGAATCCCTGCAGTCGTGTGATGGCGATATGGTACTTGGCAACTGGCTCACACTTAACAACGGTTGCATTGTCACTTTGATTGTGGTTTGCAACCTTTCACTCCCCACAAGCAAATCCAATGAGGAACCCAGGTTACAAATTGTTCAGATAATCTCTCCCACCCTTGCACCCTCCTCCGACCCCCTTTAACAACTGTGCTGTACCTTTCCCACCACTCACACACACCTTCATGCATTCTCTCCAAATCTTGCTGAGCTTGCACTAGACTTCACCGCCACTCGTGCACCTTGCACTCTCCCCCAGCTGGCAGCAACCGCTTCAAGCCCTGCTGCACTTGCGCCACGACTTCCTTACCATCGCACGCCCCCCCTTCCTGAGCCTTGCTGTGCTGGCACGGCACCTACACCACACCCGTGGACCATCCCTGAGCTTTGCTGAGTTCAGGCCATGTCTCATCAGTGCGCCCCCTTGTCCCCTTTTCTATCCAGCAGCAGCCACTTGCCTACCTGTAGCTTGTTTGTGAGCCAGCTGGGACTTGCAATTTCCTGCCGGCTTCCCCACTGACTTTGGTCATTGGAAGCCAGCAGGAAGTTGTGAGAAGGGCTTACTTAACGACAACAGGGGACTGCAGGGATTGCATCTCTAAGCAATGTGGTCAGGCGACATCACACTGAGGGATGGGAATTCTGATCCCAACTGCTGTAGTAACTTGTGGTCTACCTGTTTAATATATCAAAAACATGAGGACTGCCTATATCAGTGGTGGCGAACCTATGGCACAGGTGCCAGAGGCGGCACTCGGAGCCCTCTCTGTGGGCACACGTGCTGTTGCCCCAACCTTGCCTCCCCATGGGACCCCCTCTTCTCCAGCAGTCTCCCTGAAGGAGAGTCGCCCTCGAGCGTAGTCCACACGGAGCAGCGCAGCCAAGGACATGGCAGCCAGGCAGCATAGACAAGACTCTGCCCTCACACCCCATCATGCAGTTGATGCTGGAGGGCACGGGCAGAGGGTGTGGCCGCCATAGCGCTGCTGGGCTGCCTGGGCGATCTGCGGCGGGCTGTGGAGGCGGTGAATGGTCCTGTGGGCATGCGGGGCAGAATGGGGGCAGGACAGAGGGTGGAGCGGGGGCGGGGCCAGTTTTTGGGCCTTCGGTCTCTAAAAGGTTCGCCATCACTGGCCTATATATTAAAAATGATACAGGTAGTCCTCTACTTATGACCGTTTAATGGTAGCTTAAAGCTACAATGGCCTCATAAAAAGTTGACTTACAATCAAGCTCACATCAGTTCAATTCGGGAACTAGGCAACTCTGGCACATTTGTAATGACTGCAGTACCTTGCAGTCACGTGACCGTCATTTACAATCTTTTTAGCAGGCTTTTGACAAGCAACGTCAATTGGGGAAGCTAGATTTGCTTAATGACTGCATGATTCACTTAAGGACCACGGGATTCATCTCTCACAGTAAAAAAAATAATAGTATAATCAGGTTTGATCACGTGATGGCTCATTTAATGACCACATCACTTAGCAACCAAAATTCGGGCCTTAGTTGTGTTTGTCAGCTAAGGACAAACCTGTACTCTACTTTTCTGTACTTTTAAATTACTATCATTTCTGTTATTACATTTTATTGTTGCTCTTTGGGTTGTGATCCATATTAGAACTTTGAATTACGTATTAAAATACTGAGCACTACATTGTACATTTTAACAGAGGCAATTAGCAAATGTAATAAAGATGGATACAGTTAATCTAGGACTTTCACAATATAAGCACACTCAACTGCAATTTTAAATTCACTTTATGACTTACGAGGAGTTATGAGAGCTACTTTTTTAATAGGCACTCTTTGGGTCATAGTACTTTTTATATAGGCATACAGTATGTAAAATGCAGGTACTTAGTACTTATTTAGGCCTTTTCTCTTTAAAAAACAGCAGTCTATATCCCTATATCCACTTACTGGGAGAAAATATTCATTTGTTTTCATCTTTAGTTAAAAATACTGCCATGATTATTTTTAATGCTAGACTTCTAGACAAACAAAAATGTCTTTGAATTAAAGAGTTCTTAAATACACATTTGTTGATATACATATTTCCATTTTTTGGGGTTCTTAAAAAGAAGGGTGCCACTGGGGTTCGCAGGGTGGGCAAGGTGACAAAACATGCATCATGACCCAAAAACTGACTTACATACTTGCATCAGATGACAGGACACAAGTACGTAAGGGTGGATTATGCATCATGACATCGCTACATGCATGTAATTTTGATGTAATCTTGGTTTGTTGCAGATGCCTGTGATAATGGCTATAGAAAGATGGCAACATTTAGTTTAATCGGTTCTCATGTAACACATAAGCTACAATTGTGTGAAGGGAGACATATAACACTTTTGCTCTGATAACAGAACCCCCACCATACCAAATTCATAAAAATATATTTGAAGTTTCAAAAAGGAGTTTGTCATACAGCAAGAACGAGACAACTTTTTTTTAAAAAAAATTACTTTCTTTGTATCATGGTACTAATTGCACTGTAATTTGGATCCTAGCCATTGCCTTTATCATCCACTAAATATTTGCAGAAATCAAACAGAAGCTGACTCAGGTAATGAATATTCAGAACAGGATGTAAGTAATAAGAGTTCCTATTTGCTAAAAGTTAATATCAAACAGAGCACAGCTTTCGTAACCATTTCTCTACACTTAACAGGTTGACGTACTCTTAAGTGTACTCTGATGCATATCTGAATCTCTCTTTTACATTTTTTAAAGTAAGACTTACCAAGCTGAATATTTCTAATCCATACTGATTGTTTTGTTTCTTTCAAAATTTTTTCAAAGTACACTCCAGCAAATCCACTAGAAAAGCAGGCTATAAGTACTGCTACCAAGCCCACAAGCTGTGATCCTGCTGAAAGTTCTTTAGCTGTTGCTGTCTGCAAATCTGATGGCCACTAAGAGAAATAAAGTAATATATTAAAATCTATTTAAATTACTGAATAAAATTAACAAGAAAGAAGTGAAAAATAATGCAGTAACACACTAATAACATTTCATATAATGGTCTCCTTTAGAACCAGTTCACATACAAATTTCACAGCTTCGGTCAAGTCAGACACATCAGTTGATGGCTATTCATTCAAACATGTGATTAATCTATGCAAGCAGCTAGTCACTACATACTGAAAAAAAACTGTACCAACAAAAGAAATCTGTTAGTTTTGAATATAAAACCAAGCTGAAGCAATACTCTTCTTAGGTCAATTCAAAATAATATGCAATAGAATTTTAAGAACTACCAATCTGCTTTCTAATCTTATTCAACTAGTGATAACAATAAATTTATGTTGTGAATTTGCATATTCTATTATTTAGACTTACTAAATAAACATTTAAATGGTAGATCTAAGGTAATACTACATATAGAGGAGGTAATTTTCTTCACACCTCAAGTATAGGTGGTGTATAACATTAACAAACAAATTTAACATGTAAAGCCTTATTTTGGGGAAGAAAAAAAGAAAGGCACAAGAACAGGATAGAAAAAACTGGCTTGGCAGTAGTATATGGGAAAAATATCCAGGTATTCAAGTTGAACATGCGCTAACAGCACAATGCAACTTCTAAAAAGCAAATTTATTTAGGGGTTTACTAACAGAAGATTGAAAATAACTATCTCATTCTACATTTACAATACTATGTTCAGTTCTGCACATCACAGTCTAAAAAGAAGTGACAAACTAGAGTGACTTCAGAAGAAGTCTACCAAGATAGTGCAGAGATCAGAAAACTAATATCTATAAGTTTAGTCTGCAAAAGAAATACTACTGAAGGAAGATAGGATAGTTATCTTCAGATAATCTAACTTTGTGAAAATATCTCTTTTTCATTATAGCTGATATGCTAGAGGGGAGCCAAATCCTATTTGAATGCAGTAGAAGAGTTGTGAGTCATTAACCAAGTTTCCGTTACCAAAACAAATTAAGAAGATTTTCCCTACCAACATTAAGATATATATTCATAACAGTATTTACCTGTACAAATGCAACACCAGCCATCAGAATCACTAATGAAAGCCATTGATATACACCTAATTTCTTACTGAGCATCGACACGGAAAACAATGCAGTTGTGAGGATTTTCAGCTGATATGTGACCTAAAAAGGTAAAAGAAAAAAATTAAATAGCCCATAATTTGATTCCTGAGTTTTAACAATAAGACACTATCAAAATAAAGTACCTGGTAAGTGGCTGCATCTAGATTTGATAAAGCAACATAGAGCAGGTTATTCTGTAGAGTGTAAATCCCAGAAGGAATAGCAAGTTTAAGTGTTTCCATTGGTTTGTTAAGAATTTCGTCACGTAACACTCTGTTCAGAGTTCGCAAGCTGCACTCTATGCAAAGAGAAAATGCATTATAAATTTTTGGTTAAAAGGAAACCTATCAGTTTTAAAACTTTTGTAGCTAAACATTTTAATGTTTTTGTGTGGAACATGCAATTTCTAAGCGACTGGGCGCTAGCATATTTTAAATGTGTGAAGCACCTAGATTCCTCCCCTTTGTGTCACTATTTTTATTTTCTCAAATAATGAACATGGGCAGACATAGCTATACCAAAATCTAATTAAGTGGGCTTGTGTTTCTATGGCTAAGTTCTACCTTCACAGTATAACCTAAGAGTATACAGGTAGTCCTCAACTTATGACTACAACCGGAACTGGAATTTTGATCATAACTCATTACGGTAGCTAAGTCGAGTCGCCATGTGACCAGATCTGATTTTACAACCGTTTTTGCTGCAGTCATAAGTTGACTCACTGAGATTGTGAGTTGAGTCATGCAGTTTTAAGTGCAAATTCACTTTCCCCAATGGTGTTTACCAGAAACCGTCAGAATTTGTGATCATGTGACTGCAGGACACTGAAACAGGTTATAAATGCAAGCTGGTTGCCAGATCCCTGAGCTGCAATTATATCACTGCTCTCTCTCTCTCTCTCTCTCTCTCTCTCTGTGTGTGTGTGTGTGTGTGTGTGTGTAATGCTTAATGTCATTAAGCAAACGGTTGTTAAGCTGGGGACTACCTATAGCAGGGGTGTCAAACTGCCGGCCCGCGGGGTGGCCGTGTCACATGGAAGCCACGTGCACCCCATTGCCGGCAATGGCAAAACCGGCCCGATACGTTGCACATCACATGACGTCGTGAGTTTGACATGTCTGATCTATAGTATGAATTCCTAGAAAACAACTGATTACTATATATCATTCAAGGCATTGATGAATCACATTTGAATTTCCCTTCCTGGTAATTACTCTCCATACTCCCATGTACCCCTCCTGTGAATATTTACAAGTTTAGGTAGCTTAAGTTTATGTTAGCTATCTAAATCTTTTAAAAAGCAAACTACAATTTCCAAGTCCTCTTTGTATGCTTCTTTAAGAAATATACTTATTTGGCAAAATGCATTTGATTTACTCCTGGGAAGGGGTCTTATTAACTCCTTATAATATCTAAAGATGATACGGAGATACTTACTGCTGTCTTTGTAAACCAACAAAATGCAAGCCGTAATTTTCAAAAGTTCAGCAATGACTACTGCAGTTGAAGACAAATAACGAGGTCCTTCTTCTTTCAGTGTCCTAGAATAGCGCATAGTCAACACCAAACTAGTTGTCTGAAAGACTAATATGCTCAAAGAAAGGTATTTTAAGTTGGTAGACATAGCTTGACAATCACCTTCCTGAAAAAAAAGATAGGAGAGAGAGAGAGAGAGAATTAATGGTAGAGATTTCTTATATTCCCTGTTGAAAGCAGGGCCAGCATATAAGATGGGAAAGGCTGAAGGGCCACATTTGGAAGGACAATCAGGCAATGTGGCATTCTTACTATTTTATTAATTAATTTATTTGATTTACATTAATTTGAATTAGACCAGTGATGGCGAACCTTTTAGAGACTGAGTGCCCAAAAACTGGCCCCGCCCCCTGCTCCACCCCCTGCCCTGCCTTCACCCCGCCTGCCCGCAGGGCCACTCACTGCCTCCAGGGCCCGCCGCAGATTGCCCACGCAGCCCAGCAGCGCCATGGCGGCCACGCCCTCTGCTGGCATCCCACAGCATCAACTGTGCGTGATGGGGGGTGAAGGCAGAGTCTTGTCTACGCTGCCTGGCTGCCATGTCCTTGGCTGCGCTGCTCCGCGTGGGCCACGCTCAGGGGTGACTCCTCCAGGGGAGCTGCTGGTGAGGAGGGGGTCGCAGGGGGAGTCAAGGCTGGGGCAATGGCACGTGTGCCCACAGAGAGGGCTCTGAGTGCCACCTCTGGCACCCGTGCCATAGGTTCGCCACCACTGAATTAGACCATTCTTTATATTTAAAAAAAATCAGCTCTGGAATGTCTTGAATGCTGAGTAGATTTCCTTTAATATCAATCAGTTGGAGATTTCTTGCTAGATCTGTAGAATCAAGTGCTTTAAGCAACCAACTTCTAAGGGGTAGTTCCTTGTCTAACAAGACTGATATCCAGTGCTTTTTTTGTAAAAAAAAAAAAAAAAGTGCCAGAACTCACACACGTCATACAACCCGCCTTGCCTACCCTACAAGGTTCCATCCAAAAAAGGTGCCAGAACTCCATTCTGGGCGTTCTATGACAAAAAAAGCCCTGCTATCAATCTAGACTAATGCTCTGATCTTGGATATAATACATATAATTCTCACTATAATGTTTAGCTGAATCTACCATTTGCATCATTTCTCAAAGCTAAAAAAGAGCTTTGCCTTTTTGAAAACTTAGTCAAAATATGAATATTGCTCTCTCCTGTATCGCTCATAAGAAAAATACAGTGTCAATAAAGTAGATTGACATTTTGTACAACATAAAAAAACCTTGAGAACAAAATATGTCATAAGTTGAGATGATGTCACAGACTGAAATCAATGTGCTGCTGTTATTTTAGAATAAAGGATTCTGCATTCCTTTGTGTGGGTGATATTGTGTCTGCGTGTGCGTGTGCACGCAGTTACTGAGATATTTGGGATGGCATGGCTTGAATTATGCCGTTCCTTATAGATTAATTTATTATTGGGTGCTTCCTCTTTCCCTTAAATTTCAGATCATTGAAACGTGTGCTAGTCTACTACTAGGTGGCAATTTTCTTAAGGCAGACCCCCATGGTTACATCAAACTTCAGCCTACTTCAGTCCCAGTTTTTCAGTATTCACTATCTTGTTGAAAAGTTCCAGAACATTCAAAATTTTCACATTTTTATGAATTTCTGTTAGCTGTAATAAAAGTATTGTCTGTCTGTGGCTTTTGCATGATTTGGGATTAAGTCACAGAAGAGAACTGAAACATGTTCCATGATAAAGTTAGGATTGAATTATATTATATATATATTGTTTATTTAAGGGTGAGGAAACTTACTAAAACATGACCACTTGTTGCACTGGGAAAAGATCTCTGTTACTAGTTTCCTTGAGGAATTACTCTTTCTGCAATTTAGCCCTAAAAACATTAATAATACAGCCAACTTTACAGTTATTACCGGTACAAACTTTAATTATTATTATTATGGTAATAAAATGATCAAAATACCATACTGCTCCTGAGACTCCTCACAAATTAAAAGAGCTACACAGTAAAATTATTTTTTAAAAGTTGCTATTAAAATACTTCACTTGGAACAATTGACAGAAATTTGAAAATTTACTCAGATTGTTAATAACAAGTTGTATGTTCTTAATTGTTTTCCCATCATTCTGTCAAAATTTCCTCCTCAGAAACCTTTTGACTTGACAATGTTTGGATTCATGTGTCATGTTAAATGGTATAATAATAATAATAATAATAATAATAATAATAATAATAATAATAATAATAATAATAATAATAATAATAATAATAATAATAATAATAATAATAATAATAGTAATAGTAATAATGATGAAGAAGAAGAAGAAGAAGAAGAAGAAGAAGAAGAAGAAGAAGAAGAAGAAGAAGAAGAAGAAGAAGAAGAAGAGTTCTTCTTCTAGGGACCTTGGAGGTCTTCTAGTCCAACCCCCAGCTCAGGCAGGAAACCCTATACCAGTAATGGCGAACCTTTTAGAGACCGAGTGCCAAACTGCAACCCAAAACCCACTTATGTATCATCGGCGTGGCCCATTGGGTGGGTTTGTTTGTTTGTTTGTTTATTTAAATTTGTATACCGCCCTATCTCCCTTACGGGACTCAGGGCGGTGAACAGGCGATAATAAAAATCACAATAAATATCTATTCTAAAATCAGATTAAATAAATAAAGGCCTGCTCTAAAATACCCCATATAAAAACCTAAACTAAAACCTAATTAAGACTACGCCAGGACGGCCGCACGAAATAGATGGGTTTTCAGGGCTCGGCGAAAAAGGCGCAGGTCCGCAGTTGTATGTAGGTCGGGGAGTAGGTCATTCCAGAGGGCAGGAGCTGCCACAGAGAAGGCTCTCCCCCTGGGGGTTGCCAGCCGGCATTGACTGGCCGACGGCACCCTAAGGAGGCCCTCTCTGTGGGAGCGGACTGGTCGAAGGGAGGTATTTGGTAGGAGGCGGTCTTGCAAATACCTAGGTCCATTACCATGGAGCGCTTTAAAGGTTGTTACTAACACCTTGCAGCGCACCCGGAAGGCCACAGGCAGCCAGTGCAGCTCACACAGGAGAGGTGTTACATGGGAGCATCTAGAGGCCCCAAAATCCCCCGTGCGGCCGCATTCTGAACTAGCTGGAGCCTCCAGGTGCACCTCAAGGGGAGCCCCATGTAGAGAGCGTTGCAATAGTCCAGGCGGGAAACGAGGGCTTGAGTGACCGTGCGTAGAGCGTCACGATCCAGAAAGGGGTGCAACTGGCGTATCTAATGGGTGTGGCCCATTATATGGGCATGGCCCATTGGGTGGGCGTGGTTGCGGTGGTCACAACAGACTGGGTGGGCATGGCCACCTCGATGTTGCTCATGAGGAGGGACGCCTGTGGGGGCCAGGCAGGGTTGGGGGAGATCCAGGGGGTCTCTGGTGGGTGGGATGGTGGGCAGGAGGCTCGGTGAAGTGAGGCGAGGCAAGGGGCAGGGCAGGGGTGCCATTGCCCACCGCCACCTAGCACGGCCACCCCAGGGCAGCAGGGGCTGGCCTGGCATGGGAAGGGCACGCGCCCCACCCTCCCACCACCATGCAGGGTAAGGTTGCTGGGCCCGCCCCCGCCCAGATGGCCTTGCCTGTCCCAAGCGTTTGTTTTTTTTACTAACCTGCCTTTCAGCTACATTCCGTTTCTCGTTCGCTTCTCAGCCTTCGCCTCGTGTTTGTGGGACTATCGGTAAAAAAAAAAGTTCCATCAGACTTTCTAACTTCTCGCGAGATCTCAAGAGAAGTTATAAAGTCTGATGAATATTTTTTTTTTACCAATAGTCCTACAAACACGCAGCGAAGGCTGAGAAGCGAATGGAGAAATAGAATGCAGCTGAAAGGCAGGTTAATTAAAAAAAATGCTTGGGACAGGCAAGGGCATCTGGCCGGGGGCGGGCCCAGCAACCTTACCCTGCGTGGCTTTGGTAGGTGTCTGGCAGGGGGAGGGAAGCAACTGGTCTACCACCATGCTAACACCGTCGTGTTGCTTCTCTATCCCATGCACAGGTCCCGCCCCCCTCCGCACCTTTCTTTGCCATCGCCATCGCTGCTGCCATCGCCCCATGAGGCCGAGGCAGCTTAAAAACCAGGCAGGCCGCCCCCCCCGCTACGCGCCTTTCTTCACCAGCAGCCAGCCGAGGTAGTTTCAGACACCAGGCCGCCCATCGTCCTCCTCCTTCCCTGCATGGCCAGCCGCTGAAATTTACCACTGTCAGCTCGTGCTTGCTCACTCGCTGTCTGCACCAAATGCTGTTCCCGCCCAAAGTTGCTCCTTTTATAGCCTCACCCTGCCCAGATCTCTCGCCTATTCCCAGACTCCGCATGCGCGGAGAGGGGGAAGGGAGCAGCTCGGCCCGGCGTCCCTCTATCATTGGCAATGGCGCACATGCCGACAGAGATGGCTCTGCATGCCACCTGTGGCACGTGTGCCATAGGTTCGCCACGACAGCCCTATACCATTTCAGACAAATGGTTGTCCAGTCTCTTCTTAAAAACTTCCAGTGTTAGAGCATTCACAACTTCTGGAGGCAGGTTGTTCCACTGATTAATTGTTCTAACTGTCAGGAAATTTCTCCTTAGTTCTAGGTTGCTTCTCTTTGATTAGTTTCCATCTGTTCCTTCTTGTCCTGCCTTCTCTTGCTTTGGAGAATAGCTTGACTCCCTCTTCTTTGTGGCAGCCCCTGAGATAATTGGAAGATTGCTACCATGTCACTTCTAGTCCTTCTCTTCATTAAACCAGACATACCCATCCTCATCCCCTCATCCTCTTTGTTGCTCTTCTCTGCACTCTTTTCTAGAATCTCAACATCTTTTTTACATCGTGGTGGCCAAAACTGGATGCAGTATTACAAGTGTGGTCTCATCAAGGCATTATAAAGTGATATTAACACTTCACGTGATCTTGATTCTATCCCTCTGTTAATGCAGCCTAGCACTGTGTTGGTTTTTTAACTATGGTGTATGGAACTGTATTGAAGCCTAAACCAAATAAACACACTATCATTAAATATGATGAATATTTGCTTTCTGGGTGTTAATGATTGTTTATCTTTTCTTGATAGTTCTATGCAATGCCTGAACAAATATAGATATTGCTGATTTGTGATCTTTAAAGAAAAGTGGAGAGGATAATTCACACCTTTGGAGAGGTTATCTGTAACCTAATCTCCCCTATTCATAAAGATTCTTCTATATAGTATAGAAGGAAGCTCTTGCATATAGTTTTAAGAATCATAGCTTTTAGTTACTGGGGCTTTTTCCAACACAGGTCTCATTTCTAATATAATTAAAGAGCTGTTGCTTGTGTCTCAGGGGTAGAAATAGCAGTAACTGTTTAACGAGAATACCAATTCTATCCATATTGTTTGCGCCTAAACTTCAAGGCCTCAAAGATACCATTTGATTTTCGCCAGAGCAAAATCCTGCCACTCCTAAAGGAAAATGAAAGCAGCTTGCTCTGAAGGAGTTAGGGTGCTACTCCTCCTCTCAGTACTATTTGCTCAGGAAAAGAAATAAAAGCCTATAATGCTTACTTAAAATGTCATATCTCCCTCTGACCTGTTAAGGTGGAAAAGCAAGCAGGAAAAAAAACTTCTGGTAACAATGCGGAGGTTAAAAAAAGAACAGGAAAAAGAAAAAAAAAATCACCCTTTGAAGAAATTATCAGCAAAATCATTTATGCTCTCTGAACATTTTGTTTACTCTAGCTAAATGTGTCTGGTGGTTGCTAAATACCACAGAATCTAAACTAACCGGTTTCACTTCAGGAAAGAAGGAACACATTTTTGAAGGTGGCTCTGGTGCTGAGGGAAACTATTGAACATTAAGTTTTTCTTTATTTATGCATTTATTAAAAACAAATTTGTATAACCACCCATCTATCAAGAAGACACATATGTTTGTTTCGCCCACCCCTTATAGCCACTAGGGCAGGGGTAGGCAACCTTGGCTCTTTTATGACTCGTGGACTTCAACTCCCAGAATTCCTGAGCCAGCATGGCTCAGCTTGGAAACCTCTCCCTTTTCCCTCAGCATGGCTGGCTCAGGAATTCTGGGAGTTGAAGTCCACGAGTCATAAAAGAGCCAAGGTTGCCTACCCCTGCACTAGGGTAAATATTTTGGTTTCCAGTTAAGATCAGACTCCAAGCACTAAGATCCAAATGGAAACTCTGTATATATAAAGCAAAAGGTAGTTAGTCTCACAGGCTCAAAAAAAAAATACACATTTGAATAAATAGGAGCAAAAACATGGCAAAACAGGGTCATGTCCTCTCCTGAATGCCTTCCTATTTCAAACAGACATTTCCCTGAGCCGTGTAAAAGCTGTGGCTTCTTTGAACAATCAACAGAGAGATGCTAATGCAGATCTTAAAACATCATGCCCACGTTGGTTCTATATACTGCATATCTCTGATACGGGTAGACCACTGTTGCAAGTCTAAGCCAGTGACATCCCACACTCTTCCATCTTGTCCCAAATTGCTGCATGACACTGCTGGAAGAAATCTTGAGTCTACTGCGTCTAACTCTAAGGAAATAGATTCAGCAGGACTGCTGCCTATATTCAGTAATGGACTAGCTGTAAGGAAACAAACTAAGCCCAAAGTATTGTTGATCAGTCGGAAGTTCTGGGCATTATGGATGGGGCCACATTTCCCCTGAAAGAGAATGTGCATAGTGCTTCCTGATCTCTTATCTGTTTATGGATTCCCAGGTAATCATAGAGGCAAGGAAGGCACTTGTTCCATCATGTTAATGCAGTGCTTCTCAACCTTTTTAATGCCGCGACCCCAACCGGTCGTAAGTCGAGGACTAAACCGGTCGTAAGTCGAGGACTAAACCGGTCATAAGTCGAGGACTACCCAACCGGTTGTAAGTCGAGGACTTTCCCTGCCCAGGAGCGCCGCGCATGCGTGGTTCCGCCCCCTGCGCTGGCTGAGGCGTAGCTGGCAAGTGGCAGAGACGGAGCAGGCCGACTACCAGCTGGCCCAGCCCAAGAGAGGTAAGGCACCTGCCGGAAAAGGGGAAAAAATGGCGGACGAAAAAAATGGCGGACAGCCTTGCTTGGCGACCCCCGTGAAATGGTTGATCGACCCCAAATGGGGTCCCGACCCACAGGTTGAGAACCACTGTGTTAATGCATCCATTGCAAGTCTTCTGGAGCCAATGTGAGTTGCATGGCTACAGGGCAACAGCTATAATTAGCTCCATTGCAGGACATATTTTAAAATCCTGTATTCAGGCTGCTAATTGATGCATGCTATTAGAACCAGACTGTGCCCATATTGATAGACCTGAGGGTAGCCAACCTTTTTCTGAAGTACAATTTAAGATGTTCTAACTTTCAAATCCAAAATTGCTGGGGCCTAACTTAATAAGAACCCGTCCAAGAAGGACAGCAGGAGACATTCTCTTAAAGATATAAGCACTTTACAAACACCATTTATTAGGCATACAAGAAAAGGGCCTTCCTTTTGCTCGCCCCAAGCTATGCAATGAATTTCCTTAGGAATTTTAATAAGATTTTTTTTCATTTTCTGTTTTCAGAAAAGGAAAACCAGACTTTCTTCTTTAGTCAAGGTATTTTAGTCTCAGAGGGACTAAAGTCGTTAGAGTGACTGTTTTATCAGATGTTAATACAGTAATTGTTCTATTTTTCTTGCAGCTTTAAACAGTTTTACTGGGGCAGAAAGATAATAAATAAGCCTAAACGAAAGCCAAGTTCTTTTAAAACAATTCACAAAAGACACTTTTACTCTATAAAAAGCTCTTACTTGTCTTGAATTAAGAGTCAAACAATTCAGTTTTAAATGTGTTCGACAAAAGAAATGTCGAACAGATGGATATCTCAATGTCATTTCAAAAAATAGACCTAACTGTAGTTGTAACATTCTGAAAATCTGTATTTGGATGGGGCAGATGGAGACCTATATCATAAATTGTTATCAGTTGAGGGAAGGATAGAACTATATAGCTTTTCGTTGTATCTGGGACTAAAATCATACAGTTTTTGTACTTGGGAATAATTAGAATCTACTATCATCTTGTGGGAAGTCAAAGCCCCAGAGAAGGAAATATTAAAAAGGAAAAAATATTTTTCACCAAAAGGATTTTTAAAAGCATTTTTTGAAAAGCAGAAACCAAACCTTGCCTCATCTCTTTGCCCAAACCAGTAGCTAGGCCTATACAAATGCAGATGTAGAACCATCAGGAGGTTTGGAGCCAGGGATCTCAAGACAAAGGNCAAACAGGAAGCTAGGGAGGGTATAAAAAAGCTACTGGCCATGTGCTCACTCTCTTTCTTCTCTGCTCTTTCCTGAAGAGCCAACTCTCTGCTTCTGCAATAAACTATAACCATCTTCCCAAAGCAGTCGCCATGTTGCTTATTTAATAATAATATTCCCGGCTTGGATGAACCAGGATGAAGACTTACTTCTGACAATCTTATACACTGAAGGAAGAATAGATGAGAGGATTTCCATTTCTTTACTTTCTTTACTCTGTTTTAAAGAAGAACAATTTCTGAGTGTGAAAACTTGCATAGGCTCAGCCTAGATTAAAAGTCATCTGAAAAATAAGGGCTTGATAGAATTATGAAGTAAACTGTTCATCTGAATAAAACTAAACAAAAAAGGAATAGGAACCATTTTACTGGAAATTTGTTTGCATGTGCATATTTTAAATTAACAAAGTACTAAAAAGGATATCAAGCTTATTCTTAGGAGTAAGAACATGGGAAGATACAGGAATTATAAAAATGATCTTCTAAGACATTGTGAATTTGGGGCATAAGGCAAGCAGAATATGGTTTTGGGAACTTTGCCATTATCTCTATTGAGGGTTTTTTTGCCTAAATGTGTATTTAGGTAATGTATATATACATAGGCACTACTGTACATTGTTAGAACCCTTCTTTATAATGTTCATATGTCCAGAACATTTTAGTTCAATTTGGAGATTAAAATATAAGCCAGTAAGAATTTAATATTTAAGTTAATTATTCAAGTGTTACGAAGTATTGATCCTAACATAGTCAACTTATTTTAACAAGATGAATGGTTGTTTATCCTGAATACAAGTTTTACCACTTTTGTCCTGAGATATCAAATAACTATTTTCCGTTCATTAAAATAAACATTAAGAAGTCTATCCACAAATTCTAAACCAAAGACATGTTTATATAGATTTAGGTTCTGAACCTGAATTTACCTAATTACTGTATATTCAAAGCAACACAACTGATTTTACAAGAAGTAGACATACAATGAACAAATTCAATATAATGGCAATTTACAATGATCAAAATATTCACTATCTCATGCTGCTTTTCCTGTCTGACTTTACCACATGTGGGCTATCAACTCTATCCTAATGAACAGAAGACAAAATTTGTAAAAATTATTGAATATCCAGTGCTAAGATTTCTAACACACCTACTTCCTCTTCAAATACAGAGTTTTTAAAACTGATATTTCTAAAAGCAACATATAACACAATACTGAGTCAATGAAAAAGGCAAAAAAGTGCCTGAAAAATGTCAAACTCTTTTGGCATACTAAACGGGATCCCAACCATTTTACATTTTACCAATATTCAATATTTCAATTTTACCAATATTCAATTTTCTTAATAAAGTTTTCCTAATAAATAATACAGACTACTACAAAATGTTTTTAAAATGCATATAGATATACTAACTTCAAGAACAAGCTCCTCTTTCTGAATTCCCATGATTCCCAAACAGATACGAGAACAGTATTCAGTCTTGTAGTTAAGGTATATAAAATATATCAACTGGTATCTGTTGCTGTACAAGTTCAAAACAAAATGAAAACCTCAACATTTGTGCAGTCACAACTTGCCAGACCCATTCTTTCATGCCGATATTCTTCTTCAGTAAACATCAAACTTGAAGTTTATGAAAAATGTTCATTTTTCAGTATAAGCAGTAGATCCAAAGTCAAATAGGTCCAAATGACAACTTTCACACAGCTCATATAAAGTAATGTAAAAAGACAAATGCTTTCAGTGCAGTGCAGCCTCTAGTACTGTAGTAAAGCCAAATGACGTGTCAGCACTTATGCAACAATAATCTACATTTTCTGCAGGAACAATAAATCACCCATTATGCTACCTCATACAGTGATAACAGGTTTTGATTGTTTCCTCTAGCTAAGCAACCTAATAATGATGATCTTCAGCACAAGATCTCATTTCACAAAGCACTTAATATTAAATATTAAACACAGAACCAGTGTCATTTCAGTAGCCTCAAGTAGTTATTGGAGTCTTGGTGTTCTAGCATAAATGACTGTTGCTCTAATAAATATTTTGCAACAAATATAATATTCGACATTGTTTCAGAAACATATTAAACATATTTTGCTTTGAACTCCCTATATATCAGGCTCCAAAAAACAAGCAGAGAAACTTCTAAGCACTTTTCTTTGTTCCTCACCGACAGACAGAACCTTGCCAGACTAAAGCAGACGACTTGCATCCTTAAAGATATACACTGAGAACTTCTAAGGAGAAGCTCTCTTGACCCTTTTCATCCCAACTAAACTACCTAAGCTGTGCTCTCTCTTGCTCCTCTAGAGTGCAGCCCTTCCCTCCTGGGAATCTAAATTATATTCCAACACACTATGGTAGGAAGAGCAGTATAGGAATAAAAATAATCCTGTTGTGAAAAAATGAAGTATGGTGACACCTTAACCTCACTATAAATGTATATGAATGTGTTATAAATATTTTGAAGGATTCACCAACAGAGTTAGTATAAATTGTAAATAACCCCTCCAAATTTCACATTGTTGGGATGATGATTATATGCTGCTGCTTCCTTGATATCATGCTTGTCCCAAAGATGGCACATGGGTTACAACATAGTACTTCTATGAGCATCAGAAGATTAACTGTTGTAGCATATAATGCCCAGAATCATAATTTATTTCATAAAGACAGTCACACCGCAAAATGGTATAGAGCAGAGGTCCCCAACCTCCAGTCCATGGACTGGCACCGGGCCACGGCATGCCAGAAACTGGGCCACGCAAACAAGCGAAGCCCCATCCATGAGATGCAGGCAGCACACAAAACCACGCCCCCTCTGGTCCACAGAAAAACCTCGCCCTACAAAACCGGTCCCTGGGGCCTAAAAGGTTGGGGGTCTCTGGTGTAGAGTGTCATACTGGAATTGTGTTTCAATGTTCCTTTAGTTATGCTTATTCAAATCCCTCTGTTGTAATACTCTGAATGACATTCTTTGCTTCAAGGGCTTGCTAGAAAAATATAACGCAAATGTTACTAAAAGTGTACGGAAGCAGACTTTGAAATATAAATATAATTACTGGATTCTTCTAGCTCTTTCTCAGATTACAACTGACAAATTAAATTTGAGATTCTTCTTAAAACACTCCCATAATTCCATAAGAGGTTCAACTCTGCCCATTTGCCACAACTTGGATTTTATTAAAACAATATACAGTAAACAGGAATAATCCTACTGTCCTTTGAAGTCAGTGGACATTTCCTTCATCCTGTTAGACAAGAACCAAAAAGCCTCTATAATAATGCCAACCAAGTTATAAAATTCTTGCCCTTGGAATTCTCCTTTGGTATATTTCTTTGCTACTTCCTGGTGAGTACATTCCTGGTTTTCTCTAAGTTCAGAAGCAAAACAGAATTAGATCTAGTGAATACTATCAGGGATTACCAGGCCTACACACCATAGATAGTCCTCAACCTACTACCATAATTGGGACCAGAATTTCACATGTTACATGTGACGTCACGTGGCTGCACTACTTAGCATCAGCAATCGCAGCACTCAGTGCCATCATTAACTGAATTCCATGGTTGTTAGCTGAGGAGTCATCCCAATCCAACCTATTCTGGATTTGATCCCTCTTAACTCTGGGTTTCAGTAAGATAAGGCAATGCCTCCAAGTCCCCCATTGCCTATTTCCCACCATTTCTGCCTTTCTGGCCAGCTTGCACCCTCTCTTGCGAGGCAGCAAGTAACTGCACAGCTCTAGGGCTGTTTGTTACACTGTGCCTCAGAGGTTTCTTGGTGCACCATGGCTCTGGAGCTGCAAGAAACAAGCCACGGCCGCCACAGCCCAGTCTGTCAGGATGGACCACAGGGACTTCTCAGCCTTCTGCAACTCTGGCCCTGCAAGAACCCAAGTCACAGGCCCAGGCCAGCTGGGTCCAGCCCAAACCCACAGCTGCCACCCCAGTCTGATGAAGCATGTCCAGCCTGGCATGAGGCCATCCTCCCTAGGTTTCAAGAGGAAACCTCCATGTGCAACCGGGGGAAGAAAGCCTCATAAAGCAGGCAGCTGCCTCAGAAGCGCCATCTGTGGCAAAAAGATCGTAAAATGGGGCGCAATTCACTTAGCTGTCTTGCTTAGCCACAAAAATATTGGGTTCAATTGTGGTCATAAGTTGAGGATTACCTGTATTGTCAGCTGCCTTGGGCAATTTACAAACACAGATGGATGAAGAAATAAGCTCACCTTTCCTGTTCTTCTTATTTCCAAAGCACTTTAGTTTATATTGATTTAGTTTATATTGATTATATTATATTGATTTTTCTATGATGCAACATTTAATACTCTAAGATTAGTAATATCTAAAGCAGGGGTCTTCAAACTTGGCCCTTTTATGACTTGTGGACTTCAACTCCCAGAATTCCTCACCCAGCGTGCCTGGCTGAGGAATTCTGGGAGTTGAAGTCCACAAATCATAAAAGGGACAAGTTTGAAGACCCCTGATCTAAAGAAACTATTTAAATAAGCACATATACAAACTTACAATGCAGAGGTGGAACATAATTCCAGAGAGATAGATCCTAGCTTTTCTAATCAGAAGCTCTTGTGCAGTTCTTTTGTCCTAGCTTTTGTGGCAAAGAAAAGAGAGAAAAGTGCCAAAACGTTAGAGATTTGCAAATGGAAGATGGCAGCATCTCAAACTCACTTATCTAAATAAGATGTAGTGCAATTTGATTCACAGTTGTTACTTTAAAGATTACAGGAAAAGTTGATATGGTTTTCAAGTATAGAAAACAGCAGATATACAGTTCCTAGTTCAACTTTTGATAATGCACCTTAATTCCAGGATATTAACCTACTGAATCACCTTCTGTTTATTCTGTCTATCTGCTAATATTGTCCTTTGTTATTTATTTATTTTTTTAAAAAAAACTTCTTTGCATGAAAAAAAATCAGCTAAGAACAAGTTCTACTCCTGAAAGACTTTCTTTCAATAATGATTCAACAAAGAACAGTGATATCTGAGTAGTGTTTTATCTTTTAAAATATTTGTACAAAAGACTGAAACATTCCAATGAGGGCAACTTTGCCAGTTAATCAGGTTCACCATAGAGAGTAATGATACTGTTCAAAGATTTCCCAGCTGAGGCATGTAAATTGTCATTAAATTATTTTCATAGTCTTTTTCAATTGAAAGGATAGCGAAAAGGGCAATATTAATATTTTGTACTTATGACTCCAGATTCTTTAAATAGAGTATATAAAATATTCAGTTTTTCTATTGATTTCCTATAAAAGTGAGTTTGTTTTATCTGAGTAATTATGCCATGACAACTCTCTCATCTGACAAATTCACATTTTTCTCTCATATTTTTTCAGGGAGAAGTAGAGAAAGCTCCAATTTAAAAATGTAGTTTTTCCTGAATAATTTTTTAACAGCGAATGAACCGAAACATCTTTTAAATGGAAAAATAAAATAGGATGTTGTAAGGCTAGTATGTAAAAAGTATAGTAAAAGTCATATCAGAATACTTTTTAAAATAGTTGTATATTTACTAGCACTATTAATCAAAGGGAACTATTCTATCTTTTTCACTGAAATGGTTGTTTTTCTACTAAGAGAAAATGCAGAAGATGTGGGGAAAAGTGACAGAATTATAAATGCAATGTTATGTCCTCTAAATTCCAAAGCTTTTAGAAGAACAATTATACAATGAATGACATGTCTGTTAGCCTCCATCATGACTACTATAACAGGATCATATATAATGGAAGGATAAAGGGATGAGAATCTAGGAATTCTGGAAATTATGGAAATTATGGGATTCATTGAGTTTTGCATTACAGTACTAATTCTTAGATGATTAATAGTTATTAAGTACACACAGGAAGTAGCATTTGATTTAGACCTTTCTTGTTCCTTATTATAACAATATAAAAATGGTTAGTGATGTTTAAACAAATACATCTGGGTATGTAGCGCTTATTAATACATCAAAATTGCATGTATGCTACTCTCCCTGTCAGCAGAAAGTTTTGTAGCAGGTTACTGAGATGGGTGGCCTATGAATTTAAAAAATAAATATATCAAATAAAAATAAACTTACAAGCTTGGTTCAAAATAGAAATGAATTCAAAGTACATACAGGAACTGTCAGCAGCCATATGTAATTTTAAAATATAAATACAATATATTTGAATAAAAAATAGTGTAATTTTTAAAGAATGCCCTTTGTGTATATGTCTTGTGCAATTTTCTGTACTGGTAGGATAATCTTTCTTTGCATTATTCTATGTCTCTTGCTTCAAATTATTTATTAATGATGAGAGCTATTTCTACCTCTTACTCTGTTCTTTGAATGTACCATAATGAATGATCAACATTCATTTACACAGAAAAGTCACAATATTTTTTATTTAATAATAAGGTTAACCTACCTTTTCATTTTTCTGTTCCTTTGCCAATACATTGAAAATCTTACCATTTTATTCCCCTTTAATTCCAAAGTAGTACTCCATATTATAAAAACTTGCTTACATACAAGCAACATTTGCTTGTATGTAAGTGAGCAAATGACTGAATCTGTATGGGGGGGGAATGTGGACACATGCATACATTTGGTCAGATGTTTCGGGTATCATAGATCTATACACATTTTTACCTACATTGATTTTTACCACGCCTACTGCACTGTAATTCACTTTTCGGAATAGTCGTGCATCCTGCTGCTTCTCCCCAAAGCTATTGTTTCTTAATCCCTTCACTCCTGCCTGAGCCACTTCCTGCCATTAATATA